TTGCTTATGCAACTGTTTTGCCTTCAGTAATTGTGTCAGGAAGATGAGCCTCATGGAATTCCAGGTTATTAGAACAAAGTGTTGTTGCATTGAGGGAGTACTTGAGTAGAGGCCCAATGTCTATCTGCTACCTTAATACTTAACATATAAATATATGTACATAGATATATATGTCCCTATCATTCTATATAAATATATTTACATATATACTTGCCTGTATTTATACCTCTATAAATGTCTTTTGCCTCCTAGTTCTTTCCTCTATTTCCTTTTATTTTCCTCTTGTATCGCTATCATGTTCAACCTTCATTTGGCTTTCATAATTCTTCTTGGTACATTGCACTTGATCAAACCCCACCAGGCATTCTATGCCCTCCTCGCTGTCAATTTTAGATCACTTGTTATTCTGTTGTCCCTGGGTTTGTTGGCTCCACCCCCTTGCTTTCCTTCACCTCCTCCTCTACAATTTCGTTTCCCCCCTATGGGTCAGTGAGGTGATGCCTTTTCTCATGATAGTGCCAGTCCTACAACCCTCCCTGTACATTTGCTGAGCAGGAATATTGCCCTCAGAGCTTGGTGGGCCAGAATGTGGTCCACTTTCTCTCTCTTTCCTTCCTTCTTAGTTTGCTCCCATGTTGTCTGAGCAAATGCACCTCTCCCTGAGCTGTATCTTCAGTGCTGTACTCTGTAGTGTATTCTTCTGGGGAGGGTTCCACGTAGCTTGGATTTGGGCCGGCCCTGCAGACCTCTTTGTTGGTTCACTACTTCATGCCAGTATGTTGCCTTCAAGTCTTGGTGCACTAGGTGTCTGATACCTCTCTCCCTTTCCTATGGAGATATAAACAATACGCTGCCCATGGATGGGTTAGTGCCCTGTTCTCTCCCTACCCATGTCCTTTCTTTTTCCACCCCCCTCATTTTAAGTGGGCTGCCTTATGTATCCCTGGTTGGGTCTGACCCCTGCCAGTTTGCCTGGGCCTCATCCTGGGAATTTATGCATCTAGTCGCTTTCCCCCTATGCCCTTTTGCTTTTTAAGCTTACCCCAGTGGACTCATGTTGTACTTGTCCTTTTGTGATTGGCTTACTTCACTTAGCAAAATTTCCTCCAATTCTTCCCATGTGATAATATGCCTCATGCGTCCATCACTGCTTTTAAAGCATGTGCAGTACTCCATTGTATGTATGTACCAGAAATTTTTAATCCATTTGTCCATTGATGGAAATTTAGGTTGTTTCCAACTTTTTGCGATTGTGAACTGTACCATGATGAACATTGGAGCGCAGATGTCTGGCCATGGTTTTCACTTGCCTCTTCTGGGTTTATGACCAGTGGGGGGATTTCTGGTAGCTCGATTGATTTCCATATTGACTTCACATACCACAGGTCCACCAGTAGTTGATGAGTTCCTATCTTACCACAACCTCTCCAACACTTTTTGCTTTCTGGTTTTTTGAATTGGGCTATATTTGAGAGTGGTGGTGGTATCTCCTAGATGTTTTAATTTGCATTTCTCTTATGGCTAATGATTGGGAACATTTTCTCATGTTTATTGGCCATTTGGATTCCTGCCTTGTGAAACTTCTTCTGTTCAGGTACTTTGCCCACCTCCTCACTGAGTGATTGTTTGTTTGTTTTTTTCTTATTGTAGGCTAACAGAGTATTATAGATTTTAGTAATAAGGCCTTTGTCTGATGTGTCATGGCCAAAGATGCTTTCCCAATTTGTGGTCTCTCTTAATACTCTCTAGGCAAATTCTTTTGATGTACACCAGTGTTTTATCTTCAGTAACTTGTCAATTTGTGCTTCCTCTGTGTTAGTGTACGTCCCTATTTCTGATAGCCTATGTACTCCCTGCACTAAAATTCTCAGGTTTTTCACAGTTCCCTCACTGATGGCCCTGATAGTTTGGGGTTTTATTTTGAGTCTGTGATCTACCTTGAGTTTATTCTTGTGCATGGAATGAGCTAAGGGTCTTGCTTCTTTTTTTTTTCTCCTGCAGGTAGATATCAATTTTTTCCAGCACTACTTGTTACAGAGGGAACTCTCTTCCCTTTTGATATTTTTGGGCCCTTATCAGAGAACAGTTGTCTGTGTGCTGATGATTTTAGTTCTGGGTTCTCAGTTCTCAGTTCTTTTCCAGTTCTCTCATTCTATCAATACCAGGCTCTTTTGACCACTGTGGCTTTATCATAGGTGCTAAACTCAGGTAAAGCAAGTCCTCTTACTTTGTCCTTCTTCTTGAGGAGCTCTCTGTTAATTATTTTTTCCCTCTCCATATGAAATTGGTAGTCAGTGTTTCTAGTTCTTTGAAGAAAGATGATGGCATTTGTATTGGGATAGCATTAAAGTTATACTGTATTTTGGGCAGAACTGACATCTTTACTATATTGAGTCTTCCCATCTGTGAGCATGGGCTATTCTTCCATTTGTGGAAGTCACTTTTGGTTTCCTGTAATAGTATTCTCAAGTTTTCCTCATACAAATCTTTTGATTTTGGAGTCAGGTATATCCCTAGATATTTCAATTTGTACTTGACTATTGTGAAGTGTACAACCTTTTAGATCTGTTCCATAGTCTTGCCCAATGTATATAGGAGTTCGATAGACTTCTGTTTGTTGATCTTGTAACCTGCCACTCTGCCATATTCCTCTATCACTTCCAGCACTCCTCTTGTGGAGTTTTGGGGGTTTCCATATATAAAATCATATTTTCGGTAAATAATGATAATTTATTTATAAAATGTATTTATATTTATAAACATATTTATTTATATCAATTTATTTATATTTATAAATATATTTATATTTATTTCTAAAAATAGCCTCTTCTTTTTTCAGATGAATACCTTCAGTATCTTTCCTTTGCCTTATGTTTTTAACTAGGACCTCCAGTACAATGTTAAAGA